TTAAGAAGCTTTTTATTTTTCATTCATGGCCAACTGAAGATTTTTTAAACGGTGTATCGTTAATATATTTTTATTTTCGTGTTAATTATCAACGGGCTCAACTCGTATATTCATTACATCTGATAACTTACGTCATTTACGGTGCTAATAATAGGTCGATGTGCATGCACGAGGTCGTCCACTTCCTTCAGAATCGGGTTGGACCTAGTGGTGCTTCTCACACCCATGTCCAGGTGCGCCAGACAGAATTTCCCGGCTATGTGATGATCCTCAAGGTGGGAGTACACAACGGGGTCCAGATCCTCTGCTACGTCCAGACACTGGTCGAAATCCCCATACTGATTGACATTTCCGTTCAGAAGTCCGGCGGGAAGCTTAGCAGATGAATCAAACACTGGAAGGAAAACGTGTGAAATAGAAAAAAAAAGTTTTAATATTGTCATGGTTCGTTTTCCGGTCAACTACCTGAAAACGTATAGATTACAACACGCAAAATTATAATTTTAACCTGTAGTTTTGTACCAGTATAAAACTTGGCCTCTCGCGTTAAAGGACGAACATGTTGAGGGTTTTTGAAGAAAAAGGGTCCTCAAAGGGATATCTCGATCAAAAAGGGAAGAAACTGCATAATGAGAAGCTGTACTATTCACCAAATATTCCAGGGAGATTAAATCAAGTACGATGTGGTGAGTGGGTGGGAAAATCTGGCAGACACTGGTGATATGAGAAATGCGTACAAAATTTTGATTGGTAAGCCTGAGGGGAAGAGATCACACAAAAATTCTAGGTACGGGAAAAGGATAATATGATAGACGACAGGAAACAGTTTCTTGGGATTGGATTAATCTGGCTCACGAAAGGGACAGGATGCGGGCTGTTGTAAACACTGTAATGAACATTCGGTTTTCGTTAAAGATGGGGAACTTGTTGAATAGTTGACTGTACTTTCAGCTTGACATAAAGGACTCTGCTCCGTAGAGTTTGTTAGTTGTGTTACAAAAAGTGAAATACGTTCTGTCTGTTGGTTTGTTAGTTACAACATTCACCGAACAAAGTGCTCACTTTTCAGAGCCCACATATCGAACCGCTGAAGTCTTTCCAGAAATATTTCGCTATGAATTCGACATAGTTCGTTCGCCGTTGTCGGTGACGACGGAACGAGGACTTGCAGGCGAGTCATTATTTTACTCAGGACGCGTAGCTCAGCAATGTCCTCTAGAGCGTCGCTTTCCTCTGACTGGCATGTCCTGTTTCCTTTAACCTCTTCCTTTTCTGAGTATGCGCTTTGTCTGAAGCTGTTGCCACAGCCTAAAACAGCAGAAGAGTAATTTTATGATCTGTGCTGGAACAATCTTTAACCCTACGGAACTGAGACGTTAGTGGGAAACTAACATTCGCTTAGCTGTTCAAGAAATATCGCTTCTTAATGTATCAGATCCTATACTAAACCACGTGAATCAAGACCACACCCATACAGAGACACAATATTTCCTTCAGATAAACTTTAATATTATCCTTCCATCGACTCTTCAGGTTTCTCGAGAAATATTTCGTTATGTACTTCTCATCTCTCTCACGCGTACTACAAGCCCCGCCTATCCTATGACGTCTCACTCCATGGAGTACAGTACTGCTTGAAAATATAATAATCTCTCATAATCATATACTAACATTTCACTTATCACTCTGTTTTTAAGATAAATTAGTAATGAAAAGAATACAAATTAATAAGTAAAATGCTTATTATTATTACTTACTTCGACCTGTTCCATTGTTTTTTCCTGCTCTGTGACACAAAGCATCAGAACTTTGTTCTAAAATTAACTTCCTGTCGCTAACACAAAACGAAGTATCTACATAGTTATTATTATTATTAACATTAAATAAATTAGAACTATCTGGTATACAGACCACTAATCGAATTCTGTCCAATGACCAACTAAAGAAACAAATTAACAAAATACCGCTCCAACTTCGTTTCGAGTCCACAAAACATCGAAGTCTCATTGTGACACTGACAGTAGAAAACACAGAGTTGTGTGTTTATATACAATGACCTGAATGTCTGGTTATTATTCTGATTTCATTCTGTTTAATAATGCATTTAATAACATTCAATATGCATTGGCCCCGTTTGTAAACTGTGTCAGACGAAGTCCCTTTTTGTTATTGCTTGTTTAAACGCAATGTCTTCTCACGTTATTTCTTAAAGTGCGTATTACATTCAAAAATACGCATTAAACATAATTACACAACGTAATTAAATTATGAGCTACACTGACGGGAGAACTCCGTTACACTCGTGGCTTGTGCGCGCCATCTGCTTTAACAATCAAGAAATCTACATATTTATTGGTGAGTTTCTTATGATTCTTGTGTAATAGTTTAGAGAAAATGTGGGAGGTTATAAAGATTATAAAATGAATTCGTCTGGCTGAGGACAGGGTCCAATATCGAAACTTCGGCTCGCATAAAAGACAATGAAACCTCTAACCAGCTGAGTGAATATCAGTTTCTCAAAGACGACTTTACTCCGTGAAAATTAAACAACTGACAGTCACACAGTTTCAAAATAATCAAGATGGCTGTGATATTACGTAATTGTTATCTGTCACAAATATATTTATAAATCAAAGTGATACCAATTTCAACTAAAACATTTTACTTATGTTAAAATGTGTACGAAAACGAAGTACTTTAATAATTAAAGGTTTAAACATGATATTTTATCACCATGATAGCAACGGCCTGATGAGCTAACACAGAGGGCGAAGTTGTGAGAATAATCACATAGCAGAAATCCGTAAGCTAAATAAAGACTCTTAAGAGTTTACGAGCATGCGCTGGGCCAATGCCATTAACTGGGAGACATCAGATATATACATGTTAGCTAATAACAGTCACACGTTCGTAAGGTCTTGTCCAATTGCTGATTCCGTCGACTTTCTGTAATGAATTAAAACACGTGCGCTTTAAAATAATATTAAGTATACTTGCTGTTGAAGAATTCTCGATAGACTTACGTAGCATCAATGGGTCTGTCGACCGTGAAAAGACTGGTGGACCCGTTTAATCCGTACAGAATAATTGCTTATTACGCTTTAATTTTTGTGGTTCGAGCTGACGGAAATGTGAAAAATTCTATAGTGAAAACAGAACTGGAAGGACCGATCCAGGAGCTTCTGGGGAATATCATTGCAGCTGGTGAGGATGAACGTTTGCTTAGTGAGTTTTCAAGCGATGGGAGAGGCCGTGAAGCAGTTGTACTGCACCAAGGAAATGAGAAGGAGATTATTCATCAACGACCTCAGGGACCGGTAGAATTACCTCTTCCTTCTGCGACCAACGGTGAGTGGAGTTATTCACACGAAATAAAACATGATTTAATGTGTTGTTGGGTTAGTGATAAGCATAACCTTTTTAAACACGGTGGTAACTATAAAACCATATACTTTACCGTTCAATAGATCTGCAGATTGTCTACAGAGTGTACAGGGAGTTTTTCCATGAAAAACAGTAATTATTTGTTCTTAGAAATGTAAAAATGTTTTATTTTGTTTGGAGTATAAACTGAGTAGTTAAGTTATTTTTCAGATGAACTTCGTGCTTCATGGGTTTAGTATTTGAGGCTGGTACAGAAAGAGCTCAGAAGACTTTCTATTTCTGGTTTAGAAGTGTCCAGGAAAGTTTATTTAGAGGTAAATGCGGGAAAAATATGTGTTTCTATCTCGTTACAGAACAAAATTATAAAATATCAATAGCTAATACATAATTCGACAATATAGTGGAATTAAACTATTTTAGAACTTCAGTAACAAATCGAAAATGCTTTTACATAGCGACTGAGATAAGATTACACCTTGGGAATGGTAGCTATTATTTAGGTTAGAATATTTTTTTCTATTGTTTTCCATTTAAAATTTTATATAATAAAATATACAAAACTGTACTATTAACTATTGCCTGTTCTGTTGTGAATCTCGTTACTTCATTCACTGGGAAGGATAAAATTTAGAGATTCAGCCGAAGAGGTAGCTCTGACAATCCAACATCGATCATTTCAGTATCATAAATTTTGCCTCAGTCTGAAGCACTGTCACTTCATTTCGTTCTAATGGGGTCTAAGACGAACCGGACGTAGACGTCCTATCACAGGGTTAGCTTTACTTTAAAAAATATATTTATCAATTTTTGCAACCAAGTTAAGTTTAAACAGATTTTTATTAATATTTTTAAACAAATCTGCTAATTGTCTGTTTACAAACTCATAATAAAATAATCTCAATACGTTCTTAAAATTCTAAAGATATTATTCAGTAATGTCCTGGCACAAAAACCTACCATCGATGTTGGCTCCTGACTTTTCGAACACTGGACACTGACAGTAGTCGCTGCTGACGATAATGTGCTAACATGTGTCAGTTTGTCATCAGTTGACATACCAGAGACACATAGCTCGTGTCTCATATTTTCGTTCTCCTTAAGAAGTGATACTTGTTCCTGTTAGATATTTATATAATAATCCTTGGCGTAAAAGCCCTCTGAGAGCCAAAGCCGACTAGCTGGCTGCTATCCTCACGATCACATGCCTAAGCAGAGGTGAACGATCATCCATCCAGATATAGGATGACGTGTGGTCAGCACGACGAACCCCCAGCCATTGCTAGCTTTCCTGACCGGATTACGCTACCCATTGTAGCTCCCCAGTTTCCTCACGATGCTGGGTTGACACCGGTCCCATACACTGATCGAAAGCTCATGAGAAAATTTCTTCTCCCCGAGACTCGAACCGGCGCGCATCACCGATCGGAAGCATGATGCCTCAGACTGCGCGGCTAAGGCGCGAGACAGATATTTATATAGTGAACGAAAATGTGTACTTTCATTCTAAGATCGTGTCCTCTTAAACAACCAGATCACAGTGCAGAAACTGGCAGTCTGGAGTCCCTGCAAAATCAGTTCTGCACGTCGACTGGAGTCCCGGACAACGAAGGGCCTAGCAGCACTAGGACAAAGGACAGACGCTTCCAGAACGTGTTCAACTTCCTGCCTGTGTTGGCTCCAACGTCTGACCGGATAAGAAACGAGGCTTGCCGGAAGCATAGCAAAATCTTCGTGCATCAATTGAAGCTGTACAAGCTTTGGGCCTTGCAAAGTAAGTCAGGTAAAAGTTTGCAGGCCCCGGGATCGTCTATTAAAAATTGAATTGATCAACCGTCTGTCCCATCTACTAATCAAACAAATAGCCAACAATCTACCAAACACCTGACTGATCCCAAGTAACTCAGAAAATATTTGGCCAACATCCCGGGCGAACACAACATCAGGTAACTTCAGAAAACTGCCATTTTAGGATCTTCATACGTCATTCGAAAGACGCTGTCGTAAAATATACAGTCATCCCTCACAATAAAAATATATAATACATGTAACACATATTAAAAACAAAATGTATTTCGGAAATAGCTGCTGAACTATGTACTTCAGGGGCAAGGTTTGTCTCGGGTAAAGTAAAAAGTAAAGCTGTCCCACTATACGCCATATAGGCGCTTGGGGTGAGAGGAGGTATAGCTCCGC